TAATTGAGTGTTTCTTAAGCTACCAAAAATTTCTTCCTCGCATTATATCAATTTTTCTACTTTACATGTTATTTTTAATGTTTCTAAAGAATTCTTTTTTATTTAGGTTCCTTTGTTAAGCTTTATTGAGGCATAGTTAACTCTGTGGCTGGCATTCTCTAGAGCTGCTTAAAATATGTCCTTTTTTTCATTCAGTTAGTGTATAAAAAATTGAAACCATAATACATAATTTCCTTTCACTCAGAACTTGTACTTTTTACAGGTGAACTTTTTACAGGAAAAAGCTTATTAACTTATATATTTGAATAGGTCAGTCTAAATTATGTATACTATACCTTCTGACCTTGTAGAAAAGTAGTTTACTCTTGGGGCTATGTAATTTTAAAGATTTTTCTGAAGACCAGATGAAAGCTGGGTTTTTAGTACCCTTTGGTATGACATTGCTTTTACTAGGAATGTATTTTTATGCCCTGTAATTAATTCTGAGTCTCTTTGAAAAGGGATATGATTATAATATCAAATTCAATGACTAGATAGCAGAATTTATTATGATTTCTTTTCCAGCAAAGAAGTAGTTTAGTTTAACACAGTCTCTGTGTATTACTCCCAAGATAGAAAATGAATGTAAATTCAGTCACTTGGAAAAGTGAGAGATTGTTGATATCCTTTAATAAGTGGAGCCATCGCAATAAATAATGGATCAAATGCATTAGTATTGTTTCAACTCTCAATTTTAAATTTGATTAGGTCATTGCTGACTGGTTTTATATGCTTTGATTCTTTTACACCAGTGTCTTTGTTGTGTATGAAGTTATTTTGCTCTTATTGATGTTTCATTGCTTCTATTGATCTGTCTTAAGATTTACTAGCTAATTCTGCCTTTTCCAATCTGTTATTAAGCCCATCCAGTGAATTTTTACTTATTATTGTATTTTTAAGGTGTAGAATTTTCATTTGGTTCTTTTTTATAATTTCCACTTTTCTCTTGAGATCCCCCAAGTTCATTCATTAAGTCACATGTTTTAAAATTATTTAAATATAACACGTACTTTAAAGTCTTTGTTAATTCCAACAGCTGGGCCCTTTCTAGATTCGTTTCTATCGACTACCTTTTTTCCCCCTGATTATGGGCCACATTTTTCTAATAATTTTTATTTTATGTTGGACATTATAGTTGGTACATTATAGTGATTATGGATTCTGTTCTCTGAAGAATATTGATTTTTGTGGGTTTTGTTGTTGTTGTTTTGTTTTGTTTTGTTTTTGTGGGGAGGTCAGTTAGTAGTCAGTCATCCTAAACTTATATGGGCATGGTTTAACAATTTGTTAGGAGAGATATGGGAAAACCTCAAAGTACACATCCTTAAACTCTTGTCTCCCTGTGGTTCTTGTCAGGGTTTAGTTTAAGTCTTTTGGCAGGCTGGTTTATAATTGACATTGCTCTAAATTATGGTCCGTATTCCTAACATAATACCTGGCCATGTGTATATGTCTGTGTGTGTATATGTTCTTTTTAAAAAATTAATAAATATATATATGCAAAATTTTCATGTCAAAACATATACATCTGTTTTTTTTGTGTTTTTTTTAAATATATTTTTTTGATTTTTTACAGAGAGGAAGGGGGAGAGATAGAGAGTTAGAAACATCGATCAGCTGCCTCCTGCACACCTCCTACTGGGGATGTGCCCGCAACCAAGGTACATGCCCTTGACCGGAATCGAACCTGGGACCCTTCAGTCTGCAGGCCAACGCTCTATCCACTGAGCCAAACCGGTTACGGCTATACATCTGTTTTTTAATAATCCAATATTTATCTCAGAGTAAATGTAATATGTTAAATTGATCCATTTGGTGGACATTTATGTTTTCTATTTTTCTTCAGTTCAAACAAAGATGCAATGAATATCCTTGTACACATTATCTGTCTTTTCTTGTGGGAAAATATAAGCACATTTGGTAAATATTTGTCAGTATTGTATAAATAAAAACAATGGGATTGTTAAATTTACATTTCTTTGCTTACTAGTAAAGTTAAGCATATTTTCATGTGGGTTACCAGCCATTTATCATTCATTTTTGATGACTTGCTTTCTCATAGACATTACTCACTTTTCTCTTTGGTAAGTAGCTCAGATTTTGTTATTGGTCATGTGTATGAGCTAATTGTATATTTGATGACAGCACCTTTCTCCAGTTTTTAATTTGCCTTTCAATGTTACTTGTGGTGGTTTGGGACCATGAAAGATTTTTTTAAAAAATATTTTTATTGCCGAAACCGGTTTGGCTCAGTGGATAGAGCGTCGGCCTGCGGACTGAAGGGTCCCGGGTTCGATTCCGGTCAAGGGCATGTACCTGGGTTGCGGGCACATGCCCAGTAGGAGATGTGCAGGAGGCAGCTGATCGATGTTTCTCTCTCATCGATGTTTCTAACTCTCTATCTCTCTCCCTTCCTCTCTGTAAAAAATCAATAAAATATATTAAAAAAATATTTTTATTGATTTCAGAGAGGAAGGGAGGGGGGGGAGAGAGAGAGAGAGAGAGAGAGAGAGAGAGAGAGAGAGAGAAACTTCAATGATGGCAGAGAATCATTGATTCTCCTGCACACCCCTACTGGGGATCAAGCCTGAAACCTGGCATATGCCCTTGATTGGAATTGAACCCAGGACCTTTCAGCCTGCAGGTCTACACTCTATCCACTGAGCCAAACTGGCTCTGGCTGAAAGATTTTTAATCAGGAGTTGAGAGATCCAGCTTTTCATATACCTGTTGGCTATTCGTATGTTTTCGAATTTTGGATGTAAACCTCTTATCAGACATATGATTTGTAAATATTTTCTCATGTTCTGTAGGTTGTGTCTTTTCATATTGTTGACTAGTGTACCAGTGCACGGATTCGTGCACATTGAAAAGAAATTAATTAGAAGAAATATTTTAATATCACTATTTGTGTCTTGCTAATGAAAAGAAAATAGGATTCTACCGAGTCTCCTATCTACCTACTCCAGGACTTCTGTGAGGATCAAATGAGATGAGGCACGAGAAAACACTTCACAAACATTTGGTTGAACTGTAAAATGTTTGCACCTGGCTATAAAGCAAGTTGGGTTCCTGGGCTGAAGAAACTCCAAGGATGCTAGTTGCTAGGGAGAGGAAGCCGGGTGTTGCTATGTGACATCATTACCTGGCGTCCACAGCCACTGTTTCCGGGCTGGGCTGGGCTGTGGGCTGCATTTTGCGCCATGGGGTCTTGGCAGCATTGGCTGCAATTTCGTGGAGTGTCACTCCGGGGTGGTGGCGGGGTCTGTGTCCCACTTGGGGGAAGCCGAGTGTTGGTTTGTCGGCGCCAGGTCCATGGTGTCATTTATTTTTAAATGGCCAGTGCGCATCATGGCAGCGCCTGCGTTGAGCGCCTGCCCCCTGATGGTCAGTGAGTGTCATAGCTACTGGTCGGACAGACAGACACTTAGCCTTTTATACATATAGATTGTTTGTTTTATTGTGCAGAAGTGTTTTAGTTTGATATAGTTCCACTTGTTTGCTTTTGCTTTTGTTGCCTGTGCTTTTGGGTGTCATATCCAAAAAACCATTGTCAAGACCAAAGTCAAGGAACTTTTCCCATTTTCTTCTAGGTCTTTTATGATCTCAGGTCATACATTTAAGTCTTTAATTCATTTTGAGTTGATTTTTATGTATAGTGTAAGATAAGGATTCAGTTTTAATCTTCTGCATGTGCATGTCCATTTTCAATCACCATTTCCTGAAGATACTATCAATTCTTAATTGCATTGATTTTTTAAAATTGTGTTTTCTAGTCTATGTTTCATTTATTTCTGCTCTCATCTTGTTTCCTTCTGCTAACTTTGAGATTAGTTTGTCTTCTTTTATTAGTTTCTTAAGGTCTAAAGTTAGGGTGGTTTTTTTGAGATTTTTAAAAAAAATATAGGTGTTTATTGCTTTAAACTTCTCGTTTAGAACTACTTTTGCTGTATTCCATTGTTTTGGTTTCCATTTTCATTTTTACCAAGATATTGATTTTCTTTTGATTTCTTCTTTAACCCATTGGTTATTCAGGTGTGTTAATTTCCACGTGTTTGTGAATATTCCAATTTTCCTTGTGTTATTGATTTCTAATTTGATGCTCTTGTGGTTGAAAAGGATACTTGATATGATTTCAGTCTTAAAGATCTTAAGACTAATTTTGTGGCCCAACATATATTGTCCTGGAAAATGTTCCATGTGCATTTGAGAAGAATGTGTATTCTGCTGCTGTAGATTTAAGCCACATTGTAGCAATAACCCTTTAAATGTGAGTGGTCTAAACATTCTAATTAAAAAGCAGAGATTATCAGACTAGATAAACATAAAAGAATGAACTGATGAATGAATTCCAAAATCATTATGCTAAATGAAAAAAGACAGGTACAATTACATACTCTATGACATTTACATGGAATTCTAGAAAAGACATAACAGCAGATCATTGGTTAATAGGGTCAGTAGTGAAGGAGATTAACTGAAAAAGGGATAGGAGGGAAGTTTTGGATTGCTGAAAACATTCTACATTCTGATTATGATTATATGACTATACATTTATCAAAACTTGTCTCCATGTACATTGGAAGTTTGTGAATTTTATTGTATGTGCATTATTTCTCAATGCAATTGTATCACATGGAATTTATTATGTACATGTAGGAACTTGGGGAATGTAAGGATGACTTGGGTGGTGAACACACAATGTAATAAACAGATGATGTATTATAGAATTGTACACCTGAAATCTATATAAATTTCATTAACCAATGTCACCCCAATAAATTCAATTTAAAAAGTAAAATTTTTAAAAAAATGTCTTAAATGAATTGAAACAAATTTAGCACTGAAAAACAAAATCTCTCTACCCTACTAAAATGATGTTTGAAATGTTAGAAGTTAATATGATTTTTTAAATGAGCTTTAATTACCTACTATATTTTAATATATTTTTAAATTTTTAGGTTGAACTAAAGCGCCAATATAATGACCAGCATTCAAAATTGAGAGGTCTTTTACCTGGTCGTCAATGGTATGAAATTCAAGCATACAGGGCCTTAAATCAGGCCCTAGGTAGGTAAGTGGAGTGAAATTTAATGTAATGTTACTGTAACATTATCTGTGAGCAGGGGCTCTATGTAGAGTTAGTCTTACTACTTTACTCCTTTTAAGAAATTTGGTAGAATTTTATTTCACTGGAACCCTAGTTACTTGTACATTTTCAGTGATAGATGTTACAAGTGAAAGTTGCAAAGAATCAGTGGAATAAATGAAACTCAAAACAAAACTCACTTTGCTAAAGTTTAAAGAAGATTTTTGGTTGTTCAAACAATGAATGACACACCTTTGTAGAAGCTTACTAGCAAATAATAAAGTTTTTGTCTTAATGACCATCAGACTCAGATGATGATTTTTTAAAAAAATATTTTTTTATTGATTTCAGAGAGGAAGGGAGAGGAGAGAAAGAGACAGAAACATCAATGATTAGAGAGAATCGTTGACCCGCTGCTTCCTACATGCCCCACAATGGGGATCGAGTCCACAACCCAGGCATGTGCCCTGAATAGGAATCGAACTGTGACCTCCTAGTTCATAGGTTGACGCTCAGCCACTGAGCCACACTGGCCACACTCAGATGATGATTTTATGCGTAAAAAAGCAAACCATTTAAGAAGAGTTAAACTAAACCATGCTTGTGATACCTAAGAATTAACACAAACTGACAATAAAATTTAATTATAATACTCCTTTTTCTAAGGATTCTGGTTCATTAAGATTTGTACTTTGTAGAATTAGTTTTTAAATCACCGTTTTATATTGTAATTTCATATTGTAAGGCACCAACATTTAATTAATACACTTTTTACTTCTCCAACTGAAATTATTTATTCTATAAGAAACCTTAGTATTTTATACATTATTTCTGTTGTAGTATATATCTCATTGTATTATATTAACTTGTTATTTCTCTGTTTCCTTCCCTAAGCATGTATTATACATTTTTGTATTTTCAGCAACCATATCTCAGCTTGGGACATAGATGGTTAATTAACACATTTCGTACCGCTCAGGAGTTTTCTCGTGTTTCGCGCGCCATCTGTTAAGGACCGCTCATGAGTGTTCTCATTTTTCACGCCCATGGAAAAAGGAGCGAATCTAGATACTTATGTAAATTTTGTTTGGTCCCTCTTCATAGAGGAAAATGTTTTACGCAGTACCATATGTTAAAAAAGTACTAGGAACTTTAATTGTTTAATTGTTTTTGTAAATAAAAATGTTATAATTATAGAAAAACAACACCTAAGGTGCATTATGATGATTTAAATAACGTGCAGTTTGCCCAAAAACGTGCAGTCCCTGGCGTATGTCTTAGAGATTTCTATGCGGTACGCAATGTGTTAATAGATGGTTTGTTGAATTAGTGGAAAATGCCAGGTTCAGTGCTTTTTTTCATTATACCATATTGGTCAGAGAGCTAGAGCCTCAAAACCTACTTTTCTAAAATTGAATAAAAAGGATGTATTTGTAATATATATATATATATATATATATATATATATATATCCTATCTAATAAAAGACAAAAAGGGTAATTGACCCTACCTTCACTATGCTTCCCATTGGCTAATCAGGGCGATATGCAAATTTACCGCCAACAAAGATGGCGGCCGGCAGCCACGCAGCTGAAGCGAGCAGGAGGCTTGCTTGCTACAGTGATGGAGGAAGCCAAGGTTCCCCCGCCTGCCGCGGCCTGGCTCTGAGCTCCAAAAGCAACAAAGTTTCAATTATAGAAGTTAAACAAATCCCAGATACCTGATTTCAGCAGGCCGAGCAGGAGCTGTCTCTCAGCTCCAGTGACGGCAACAAAGTTTCAATTATAGAAGGTAAATAAATCCCAGAATAAAAAAAAAAAAAAAGGAGAGGCTGGAAGCTTCAGTCGCCGGCCAGCCTGAAAAAGGCCCTCAGCCCCTCATCCAGGCTGGCCAGGCACCCCAGTGGGGACCCCCACCCTGAAGGGGGTGTGATCAGCTGCAAACAGCCATCAGCCCCTCATCCAGGCTGGCCAGGCACCCAAGCGGGACCCCCATCCTGATCCGGGACACCCTTCAGGGCAAACCAGCCATCCCCCACCCGTGCACCAGGCCTCTATCCTATATAGTAAAAGGGTAATATGCAAACTGACCCTAACAGCAGAAGGACTGGGAATGACTGGTCACTATGACACACACTGACCACCAGGGGGCAGACGCTCAATGCAGGAGCTGCCCCTGGTGGTCTGTGAGCTCCCACATGGAGGAGCTCTGCTCAGCCACAAGGCAGGCTGATGGCTGCCAGTACAGCGGTGGTGGTGGGAGCCTCTCCTGTCTCCTCAGCAGCACTAAGGATGTCTGACTGCAGCTTAGGCCTGCTCCCCGCTGGCAAGTGGACATCCCCCGAGGGCTGCCGGGCTGCCAGAGGGATGTCTGATTGCCAGCTTAGGCCCAATCCCCCGGGGAGCAGGCCTAAGCCAGCAGTTGGTCATCCCCTGAGGGGGTCCCAGACTGCGAGAGGGCACAGGCTGGGCTGAGGGACCCCCCCCCCCCCAGTGCACAAATTTTTGTGCACCGGGCCTCTAGTATATATATAAAGGCCTAAGCGGCTGGCCAACCAGCCAACTGGCCGGTAGCTGTGATGTGCACTGACCACCAGGGGGCAGATGCTCAACGCAGGAGCAGAAACCTCAGGCATGGAAACATGGGACAGACTGATGAATCTCAGAGGGAAGGGGGGAGGGGGGGAAGGACGGGAAGAGATTAACCAAAGATCTTATATGCATACTAGAGGCCTAGTGCACGGATTTGTGCACCGGTGGGGTCCTCGGCCTGGCCTGTGGGAATCAGGCCGAAACCAGCTCTCTGACATCCCCCAAGGGGTCCCGGATTGCGAGAGGGCGCAGGCCAGGTCGAGGGACCCCACCGGTGCACGAATCTGTGCACTGGGCCTCTAGTATTGATATATAATACTGTAGTTATAGTATTTTATTAATTAAAAAATGGGTAACAACTGTCATTGATTTTAAGGGCAACAGTATCAATAAGTAACAACTTATAGAAACATGTCCATTTAAAAACCAAGTAAATATTTTACATCATTTGATCATACTCATAATGTGTATTGATTGACATAAAAGGTGCTTATACTTAGGCACTGTCCTTACAAGGGATATGTTTAGAGGGTCTAAAGTAAACAGAAACAAATTGTGTTTAAAAAGTGTTATCTTTTTTTAAGGCCACATGAGTATTTGAAGTAATATAAGTCCTTGAAATGTAATAACAGCTTTCAGGAATGTACCATATGGTTTTGTGACCAGAGTATAACTGCACTATGAGTTTCCTAACAGGTCTGCTTTACTAAAAGTACCTTTGTCTCAAGTGGGCGTAATTCATTTGAGCAAGGCAGTATGAAAACAATGGGAAAATGAAAAGGTGAAACCTGTTTTTCTGAACTGTTTTGTTAACTTAAATGCCTTTCTTTCATAGGGCACTTTAAATATAAACTGTAGTGGAACCAAAACAGAGTGCCAGCCTGACTTTCTAATGATTTTTGACACTGTCCTATAATGTTGGCAATATCCATCTGCCCATTCTGCCCAAGTCTCTGTGGAAAAATCAAACATTTATATTAATCTTCACCCTTTCTCAAAATCCCATGATAGTAAAGGAATAAAAATGCCAAACCTACAAAATTAAAAAGGAACGGCAGAGGGGGGACAATGACAGACAAAATGTCAGCAAATTCTGAACACTGGAAAACAGATGAATGATTGAGTAACTTAACAGGCAAGAGAAAACTGAAATTTAAATCCATAGTCATGAAAGCTAAGAAGATCCTCCAGATTCAGTCATGGAAAAGCTTAGGACTTGGGGGCATTCTAAAGTTTCAGTTAAAGTAAGGTTAAACACAAGAGGATTGGTTGCAAGTTAGTATAAAAAATAGTTTGATAGCTCCCTCCCCCATTCAGTTTTACTCTCTAGAGCAGTGGTTCTCAAACTTCTGGCCCTTTAAATACAGTTCCTCATGTTGTGACCCAACCATAAAATTATTTTCGTTGCTACTTCATAACTGTAATGTTGCTACTGTTATGAATCATAATGTAAATATCTGATATGCAGGATGGTCTTAGGCGACCCCTGTGAAAGGGTCGTTCGACTGCCAAAGGGGTCGCGACCCACAGGTTGAGAACCGCTGCTCTAGAGAGATTAAACTAGAGTCTATATATTCTTCAACTCCTAGTACAGCTAAGGATGTATTAACAATGGGGATTAAGAAAAGTCTACCTACTGAATGTCAGAACTCCATCTCCTTTTTCTTGTCAGTTCTGAGTAAGCTGACAATCTTATATCTACAGATCAGGAAAGTACAGTATTTCTTTTCCAGGAAACTGACCACTCCATGAGGAAGGGTCTACCGATAGTGACAAAGTGGCCCCGCTCCTACCAGATTACCTTACTGAAGCGGTTCTCAACCTGTGGGTCTCGACCCCTTTGGCAGTCGAACGACCCTTTCACAGGGGTCGCCTAAGACCATCCTGCATATCACATATTTACATTACGATTCATAACAGTAGCAACATTACAGTTATGAAGTAGCAACGAAAATAATTTTATGGTTGGGTCACAACATGAGGAACTGTATTTAAAGGGCCAGAAGGTTGAGAACCACTGCCTTACTGCAAAACCTCTTAGCCTATAAGCCCCGCCCATAATTAGAGCTGCCAAGAATTAGTGCCTCACCCTCAATAAGTCCCAAGAGTCTTTAGATATTCAAAGAATATCTGTATCATGAGATATAGAAACCAAAACGATAGCAAAATAATACCAACAAAACAGGGTGGAAGAACTCATAGAAAACAGAAACAGTGCAATAGAACAGGGGTTAGCACACTTTTTACATAAAGGGACAGATAGTATATATTTTAGGCTTTTCATGCCATATATGTTTTGCATACAAATTCTTGTTTTTTCTTTAACCCTTTAAAAATGTAAATACCACTTCTACCTTGCAGACTGCACAAAAACAAGATATGGGCCAGATTTTCCCTGTGGTTCATAGTTTGCTAAACTCTGGATAGAAGAAAGCTTTTAAAAAAATAAGTATCAGTAATATTTATAGAGAGGTAAGCTAAGTGCCTTCAAAAAGGAAGAACAGAAAATGAGAAAAGCTCCTAGACATTAACATGATAGCAATAAATTTTAAGTGAAGAATTGGGCTTAGAAGATAAAATAGAAATTTTCCAGATCAAAAAGACAAAGGGAAAATAGGAAAGAACTTTAAAAAAAAAAGGTCAGTATGTAAGAACCAACTTCTGATATCCATATTAAGAGACTAGAGAAAATAAGGGAAAGGAACATAGCAAAGAAATAATTTTCAGAAAAATGCTCAGAATTAGAGGGCATAATTTTCTGATTGAAAGGACTCAATTAACTTATTTTTAATTAAACTGATTATTTCTTTATCCTAGTCAATTATACTTTTCAACTCCAAAATTTCCAATGGGTTCTTTCTTTAAAAGTGTGCAGTTCCACTCCTAGTTATATATCCAAGATAACAAAAATTTTGTATTCATACCAAAACTTGTACATTTTAGCACTATTGTTTATAATCGTCCGAAGATGGAAACAACCTAAATGCCCATTGACAAAATGTGGTATATCCATACAGTGGAATATTATTCAGCCATAAAAAGGATCGAAGTACCAATGTGCAATACAAGTAACCTTGAAAACATCATGCTAAGTGAAAGAAGCCAGATACAAAATGCTGAATATTGTATGACTCCAGTTACAGGAAATGCCCCAAATAGGCAAATCTGTAAAGACAAAGTAGATTAGAGGTTGCCAGGGGTTAGGGAGAATAATTGGGATAACTGGGAGTGACTAATAATGGGCACTGGGATTTTTTTGGTGAAATAAGAATGTTGTATAATAGTGGTGTGGGTTTCACAACCTTATAAATATACTAAAAACCACTGAATTATATGTTTAATTTTAATATTTTTAGCAAATCAAATCCAACAATCTATAAAAAGAATAATGCATCATGACCATATGTGATTATCCTAGGAATGAAAGGCAGGCTCAATATTCAAAAATTTGCCAGTATAATCTACCACATTAACAGTCTAAAGAAGAAAAACTACATGAGCATATGAATTGGTGCATATAAAAGATTTTTGTAAAAATTAAACATTCACTTATGATAAAAACTCATTAAACTAGAATAAAGGTCATCTATATAAAACTAACAATATAATGCACGAGGTGAAAAATAGTCTGTGTGGCTAAGAAAAGTTTTGGAAAATATATTTTTTTGCCTTTCAAAATAGAATGCATATAACATTTTGGGATGTTGAGTTATCAATAGTCAGCAGAAGTATGCGATTTGGTTACAGAACTACTTTGGTACAATGTATTGAGTATAACCTTGTTCATAATAATTAGTTTGATTAAAGGAATATATGTGAGTTTGATTAAAGGAATATAAACCAATGACACGTAATTGATTTTTTCAGTCTTCTATCTTTTCCATTAGATATTTAGCTTTTATTTTCAAAGTTATATCTATTTTATTTTCTTCCTGTATTTTATAGATGCATTCGACACAAAAATGATTGGGGAGCTCTTATTTTAGTGGATGACCGCTTCAGGAGTAACCCAAGTCGATATATATCTGGTAAGATTCTCAGATTGGCTTAGAGCAGTGATGGCGAACCTTGTGAGCTCGGCGTGTCAGCATTTTGAAAAACCCTCACTTAACTCTGGTGCCGTGTCACATATAGAAATTTTTTGATATTTGCAACCATAGTAAAACAAAGATTTATATTTTTGATATTTATTTTATATATTTAAATGCCATTTAAAAAAGAAAAATCAACCAAAAAAAATGAGTTGTCATAGGTTCGCCATCACTGGCTTAGAGTAATGAATTAATAACAGTCTTTAATGACTTCTATTTTTAAAGATAAAGAATTGGATAGAGAATTTTTAAGTTAAATGTATTGGGGTGACATTGGTTAATTATATAGGTTTTAGGTGCACAATTCTATGCTATATCATCTGTATATTGCATTGTGAGAATTTGAATATTTAGATCAAACATGAAAAGTCGATATTGAAAGGAATTCTAGCCTTTTAGTGCTTATGTGTTTGCAAAACAATCTTTATAGAGGAGAATCTGGTTAGTTATCAACATAGTATTAATCAATTAGGATCCTTCAATTTCAGAGAATATGGGATTTGACTCAGTAACACTAATAATTTATTTAGCATTGTCAGGGGTAAAAGCTGTTCTACAGAAATGACTTTCTAAGAAATATTAAGCTTTTACATTTAAGCACATCTCCTTTTGTTGCTTAGGATTCTTTATTCTTTCATTCTGTGTTATGTTGAAGTTTGTTGTGTTTCTTGGTTTGCTTGTCTAGAAATGCTTCAGTTATTATAGGGTTTATGTTAGAGCTCATATTTTCTAAAAGGAAAAACTATTGCATGCCCCAAAATCAAATAGTCATTTCCCTCCCCCCCATTCAAATGAACAAATATTATGTCTTATTCAGGTGGTCCCTGACTTTCATTGGTGTGACTTAGGATTTTTCTACTTTACAATGGTACAAAAGTTTTACACTTTGAATAGAAACCATGCTTTGAATTTTGAATTTTGAACTTTTCCTGGGATAGTGATATGTGGTAGGATACTCTCTGGTGATGCTGGGCATTATAAAATAGGTTTCATATTAGATGATTTTGACCAACTGTAAGCTAATGTAAGTGTTCTGAGCACATTTAAGGTAAACTAAGTTAACCTATGACATTCGGTAGGTTAGGTATTTTAAATGCACTTTTGACATACAATATTTTCAACCTACATTGGGTTTATTAAGATGTAACCCCATCATGAGTTGATGAACATCTGTAGTCTTTATTTTGCAGTAACACAATTCCTTTAGAGGCAATACCAGGAACCCATCAGTTATTGAAGAACTGTTGGAAATATTTGCATCTTTATTATTATCTTTAATGCTAGAAAGTTCATACTATACTATAATGAAAAGGTTCTAAATTTTAAATTTGTTTCAAATTAGCTTTCTATGAGTATGGACTATACTTTTTCCATTTCAGAGCCTAATTACTATATTTGGTTTGATATCAAAACATATCCACCTTGGATGGATTAAAGCAGCAAATGTTGCCTTATTAGTCTTGCTTTTGAATGTAAAGCAAGCAATTGTGCTTAGGTCAAGACATAACTAAAAGCAAAATGTTAAGTGCTTATGTTTAGTCAGCAGGTGGAGCTCATATTCTTTCAAATTTCAAAAGTAAACTGACATTTTACACTGAAAAGGCTTACTTTGATTACAAAATGATCAAAATGGAAGAGGTAACTATAGTGCTAAAATTTCTTCATATTATTAGGTGGTGTAATTATTTTCTCCTAGCAACCAAAATAAAGAACTTTAAAGGAAATTCTTATTTAATTTTTAAAATTTTAAAATCTAGAACTTAATCTTTTATCTTATAGTTCAGATTTGTTGAGAGATTTTTTTTGAATTAAATATTTTTTATTTCTGTCTGGTTTTAATTTTTTTTTTCTTGAGACTCAAAATGTGAAATTTTTTCTTATCTGGGCAATAATAGCACAAAATACAAATTTCTTTTGATGACTGATATCCGTTTAAATTCAATTTTTACACATACAGACTGATATAAAAACTCCATTAAAAAACAAATAAAGGGCCAAACCGGTTTGGCTCAGTGGATAGAGCGTCGGCCTGCGGACTGAAGGGTCCCGGGTTTGATTCCGGTCAGGGGCATGTACCTTGGTTTGCGGGCACATCCCCGGTGGGGGGTGTGCAGGGGGCAGCTGGTCGATGTTTCTCTCTCATCGATGTTTCTAACTCTCTATCCCTCTCCCTTCCTCTCTGTAAAAAATAAATAAAATATATTTTTTAAAAAACCAACAAATAAAAGGAATGTATTTGAAATCAAAGATAGTAGTCACCATAGTGACTTTTTATTTTAAAAATATTTTTTATTGATTTTTAGAGGGGAAGAGGGAGAGAGAGAGGAATCAAGCCTGCCACCTGGGCATGTGCCCAGACTAGGAATTGAACTGGCAACCTTTGGTTACCCAGGACAATACCCAACCAACTGAGACACACAAGCCATGGCCACAGTGACTTTTTAAATTACTCCGAAAGGTGATGATAATTTTAGTAACATTAGTAGAGAAAATTTATTTTTTTAAAGTTTGAATATCTGATTTTGAATTTCATTCTGAAGTGAGTCTTACTATACAGCCCCTTAGATTCAATTTTGGTTCATTTTTATGTAGTTTTCATATGTCATAGATCAAATTTTTTCCCTTACAACTTGATTATTTGTATATTTTTAAAATAATGTAATATTTAGATAGAACATGCTTTACTCATAAAACAGTGTTATTCCTTTTGGCCCCCAGAGTAGTTTAAGGTATATTTGGAATTAGGGGGGGGGGGGAAAGGAACAAAAAACCTATGAGACTGAAATCTTGAATTTATTTTTGCAAAAGGAGTGAAATTTAGAAAGTAAGTATGCAAAATTGTGTTGTTTACAACTTCTAGTTTTCCTATAATGAAAAGGCAAATTTTTGTGGGGAATTGTTAAATTAAATTTGCTTTATTCCCGAGTTATTCTAAAGTGACAAAAATTCCGCCCTTCCTCACTTTACTCTCATTGCCTCTTTCCTCTCCCCAGTTGACAATCGTTGCATATAAAGAGAAATGTTACTGATATATGAGCATATTGTACATATGACGGTAAAAAGGCAGGAAAAGTATTGAGAACCATTCTATGTACTCTAAATTCTAGATTACTTCATTAGAAAAATTATCCAAGTTTTTCTTAATACATAATATCATCATAACCAAATATCATAAATAATATCATAAAATAACCGAAGTTTCTTCCCTGGGTGTACTTTTTCCTTAGGACTTTCTAAATGGGTACGGCAGCAGATTCAGCACCATTCAACCTTTGAAAGTGCCCTGGAATCTTTGGCTGAATTTTCCAAAAAGCACCAAAAGTTCATTGATGTATCCAAAGAGGACAGAAAGTCCATACAGGACAGTCAATCTACACTTGAAGTGGCTTGTTTGAAGGACAATACCTCACCTTACTTTTTAGAAGCAGCAAATCATCTATTACCAGAAAATCCTAGGGAAGGTAAAGCAAAAATGTGTGTCTAAGGACTAAAATGTTGTAAAATGAATAACTAAAAGTTCATCTCTCCCAAGTGACATCACCTCCAGGAAGGACAAATGTATGAAAAGCTTTGTCCATTTTCATTTGATAGAAAAGTCTTCCGTTATATTTAGTCAAGTGATATTTTTGTGTTGTAGATTATTGTCCTTAAATACCTTGGTTTGTAATGTAAAGTATTATTATAAATTAGTGAAGTAGTAAAGTATATTGGAATGGGAACAAACTTTTGTCAGGAGAGCTGAGCACATTTTCTGATTTTCCATTAACAAACTTTGCTACTACTCCCGGCTGGCATGACTCAGTGGTTGAGCGTTGACTTATGAACCAGGAGATCATGGTTTGATTCCCCAGTGTGGGGCCTGCAGGAGGCAGCCGATCAATGATTCTCTCTCATCATTGATGTTTCTATCTCTCTCTCTCCCTTTCCCTTCCTCTCTGAAATCAATAATAAAAATATATTTTAAAAAATAACAAAAACAACTTTGCTACTAACTAGCTTTGTGACCAGGAGCAAGTCACTTAACTTTTTTGAGTCTTAATAGAAAAAGGATTATCTGCATACCTATCCCTCAAAGTTGGATTGTAAAGATTTAATAACATAAATATTTACAGCATTGTAAAGTACTATGCAAATGCTAGGTGTTTTTCTAAAGGTTATATTGAAAATTGGTCTCACTTATAGGTCTTTTTCTTACATGAATTTCTTAGTTTAAGGAAATGAAGCCATGTATTCTAAATGATAAAAAAAAAAATATTTCAAAATATATTAGAATATAATGGTCAATATCAGGGATTGGCAAACTATGGCCTCTGGACCAAATTTGGCCTGCTATCTGTTTTTTTAAATATAGTTTAATGGAACACTGTCACATCCATTCATTTACATATTATATACAAAGGTGGAGTTGAGTAATTGTACTTATTACACTAGAACAGCACAATTGAGTAGTTGTGACAAATACAATAAGACCCACAAAACCAAAAATATTTGCTGTCCGGCCTGTAATAGAAAAAGTTTGCCAAACTGTGTATATATATATATAATTGGTATTATTTCAGTTGTTTTAATGAATATATGATAGATTAATATATCAAATTTTAAATATTTTATAGCATATGCTTCTACCTATATACATAAAAGCCTAAGCGACCATTACAAATGGACGACTGGACTACTGGGCCGGTAGCTATGACTCGCACTGACCACCAGGGGCAGATGCTCAACACAGGAGCTGCCCCCTGGTGGTCATTGTGCTCCCACAGCCAACCTCCCATGGCCGGTCAACCTCCTGTGGTCCCTACCCTTGGCCAGCTGGCCCCGATCACCAGCCAGGCCAAGGGACCCCACCTGTGCACGAATTCATGCACTGGATCTATAGTATACAATAAATGTCATAGTGAATTCAAGGTAATTATATTGGTAATCAGGAAACCTAGGTTTTAATTCAGGTCTGAGTACTAACCAGTTTTATATCTTAGTCTGTGTAGTGTCAGTTTCCTTAAGGGAATTAGTCTAGGTCAGTAACTAGTTAGTGGATTTAAAAAGTAAATTGTTACAGCCTGTTCCCTCCGTTATTCAGCCCTCTTCCTCTTTTTACTCCTTTTCTCATTCACTCCTGAGGTTCCTGGAGAGGGATTTGAAAATATACCATACAGCATTATAACTTGGGTTAGGACTCACTGGAGACATAAGGTTCTTTTCAGAGTTAATATTTTGTGATTTACATTCTAAGATGGAAGTCCTGCTACTGGTTGTGGGCTTAGAATTTTGTCTCCTTTACAGTTATTGTAGTATTTCTAACAAAAATCATTTTGATAAAATAATTATTATGCTAGGAACAGAAAGTTAACATTCTTACATTTTTGTACTCATAGATGATCCAGAATTATTGGAAGAGTCTGGCCAGCCAATGGAAGCAGAAAACATTGGGATTTCCAGATCCACAAGCCCAACCTTCAGCAAACAAACAAATAGAGTTAGGTGGTCTAGTTCTAATTCTTTGGGACAGTGTTTTTCTAGTAAAATTCTGACTACAACACCTAAGTTTAGGTCATCAGAGGACTGTGCCTCTAGTTCTTCCACTTTCAAAACAGAAAAGGATTGTGAAACTGTTTTGCCACTCACTGATAAATTTGAGTCCTCATCTCTCACATCATTTGAACCATGCCCTCAGTCAGAAACTGTTATTTCATCAATAAAGATTGAGGCTGCTCTTCTTAAAAAAGATCATTCCGAACAGCTACTCTGCTGTAAAGAAGCTCTGGATCCAGACCTTGAATTATCTCTAGTGAGTGAAGAAGATAAACTTTCTACTTCAAATAGAGCTTTTGAAACAGAAGCAGAAGATGAATCTATCTATTTTACACCTGAACTTTATGATCCTGTAGATACAAATGAAGAAAAAAATGAACTAGTTGAAACTGATAGAGACAATAGATTGGCCAATAATTCAAATTGTATTTTAGCTGAAGATCTTTTTGAAACTAGGACTACAAAAGTAGTAGATTCAGTCAGGAAAATGAAAGTTGAGGATTGCCCAGACACAAAGTTAAATAGACTCATGCATATTGAAGAAAGTAAAGTTGATGATATTGGTAATAATATAAAAACAACTCATATAAATGAATTGGAACTGGGGAAAACTCATGAAATGGATATAAAGGACTTTAAACAGTCTCCTCCCCAAAATAAAGGTGTGTTCCCTGGTATTAGATAATAATACTTAACTGTATTATTGTACTTATATTAAACTCTTATTATAAATGATAACTTATACATTAGCAAAGTATAATTTTTTAAAATTTGAGATACATTTTTTTACTTTAATTGCATTAGAGTTTTAAAAGTATGGTAAGTTCTGAAATATAAGTTTTACTATTCTTGAGTTTTGATAAAGAGATTCATTCAAAATATTTTCTTTCAACAGTCTTCTTAGCTAAGTGCAATTCAAAATTAATCAGTCTAAAAGATAATAGTTGTCTAGGGCATTTTAAATTTTACATAAACATTTATATATTGTACTTTTCTTCATCCATTTGTTTTCATCCAATACATAAAAATTAACAGCAGTGTAAATCAGTAATGTTTTATTATAGATTTTACCTCAAATTAGTCTGACATTTCTTTTAGAAATCAAAGTTTTCTTAAAAATTTTATTCCTGCATTAAACTGTCTAATAATAATTAAGAATTAAGGAAGAAAACTGCATGCATTTTAAATTGACGTCTTGCATTTGTTTGTTTGATAAACTAAAATCAAGCATGTTTTAAGCAAACTTATGTAAAGTTATAAAATGCCAAATGAAGGACTCCGAATTTTCAGTTCTGATTATCTAGCTTCATTATCATTGGGAGGAAAAGTGACATGTTTTAGCATAAAGGCTTTAATTTTGCAACTATTAAGATAAAAAACTTCATATGTAAATTTGATAAGTAAATGTAAACATGTAACTGTAGCTTAAAAATGTTCCCTTACAGCTCAGTAAGTCTTTCGGTAAGTTTTGACTAGGTTTTTGTGAATGGAGCAATACTTCTTATCAAAAGTGGTTATAAAAGAAGCTCTCCTCTGACATCATTTCAAAATTACATTCACTGATCTTTTTCTAAGAAATATCTATTATTTTATGGACATTTAGGCTTCTTGTGAGTGATTTGAATTGAAATTTTACGAGCTGTTGAAGTTATGGAAGTGGTTTATTATTTTCAAGTCAGAATTCCCAGCAATCAAGTTTATTTTACATTTATGTGGATGATAAATTATTACATATGCATGTGTTTACTTTGATTTTGATGGTATTTAGATTGAATACAGCTTAACTGTTTTATAGCATTGGATGCCATAACTCTTAAGCTTAGTTCAAATTGATAATTTACCAGTTAAAGCATTCATCTAGAGATTGGGATGTACTATATCCCACCTAGTATCACATATTTTTTTAGTTGATCAATGAGTAATAAGTTACAAAGCATTAGATTAGAAGGTAATTTCTAAATTGTTTTCAAAGGATATAACCATTTCTCCTCTCTGGTATATTTTTAAATTTGTCGGTAAGGGTAGTGGAGTAGTAGAAAGAATACCTGGTGGAGGAAGAAAAGAGATTTGGGCTCTATTCCTGCCTCTGCCACTAATTAGCTTAGTCATGTTGTCAATTACTGTGCCTTTTAGGGAATGTTTTAACTGTGAAATGCAGGATTTAGTACTATAAAATCATGTAAATCTCAGCTTTAAAAATCTATAAAGGAATATGTTATTTTACTCTGAATTACTTTTCAATTGCTTTTGTTCTAAAATGAGTAAAGTTAAGCAAACCATTTTATAGAGTAGATGAAATGATACTAATCTACCTTTAAGGGACTAATTTTATGAATATGTACATAATAATTTGAGAAGCAAGATATTTATTTTAATAATTCTGTGCTTAAAACATTGCCTTTAGAAAAATTGGTAAACTACATGAGAAAAACCAAGCACATTATATTTTATTCATATCTTAGTGTTATTATCCAAGTTGATCTCAAATACCACCCCCTTTCCCTAATATTTATTCCTTCCAAACTGTCTAAAACTAAAAAATTCTCTTATTTGGAATGTATGTAGAGATGTGCTACAGCTTTTAGTAATTCCAAGAGGTGTTTCAAACATTTTGTATAATGTCAATTTTGAATCAGGTATATATCTATATTGTGTCCTTAGATTATAATTTTGACTGAGTGGATATTGCAAAAGTACTAACCTATATAATACAGTAGGTTGTAGAACAGTTTCATTAGTGATTACATGCTTTTTAAAGATGTTTTAGAGAGTTGAATACATTAAAATATATAAAAGCATTTAAAAGAGTACCTGGCAGATGGCAAACTATCAGTTATTAGTTAGTAAATCAATCATATCTGGAGTGCATCCTTACTTTATATGAAAGTTCCTAATGATGACGAAGACGATAGATAGATAGATAAATAGATAAACCAACAATAAAGAATCGTTGTATGTGATGGCCAGAGGGAAGAGGGGACAGGAGCTGGTGGAGGTGGGCAAAGGGGTGGGAGAATGGAGATATCTGTAATACTGTCAATAATAAAAATAAAGTTAAAAAATAAAAAATAATAAAGAATTGTTATATGGTTAGAAGGAAAATTATTTGGTTTATTCTTTAGGACTTTTGAGATATTTAAGATAGAAATGCTTATCAGGTAATTTGCTTTACCCATTTGATGCATATGAAGTAATTATCTAATACTGAATTTATTCAAGGGCTGAAAATTTATAGAACATACAGGCCACGAACCAGGAAAACTACCAGTTGGAGAAAGGGCTTTATTCATGGAAGAAAGGTACAATGTAAAGAGTAGATGGTACCTGTCTTGACTATTGAAATTTAGATGAATCATTTAAAACTTGTAATAGCTATGTTGGAAATTAATGACAACTCTTACTCTGCTACTACTATGCATTTAATTATCACATGGTTTTTAATTTAGCACTGTTCCAAAGTTCACACAAGGCTTTGTTTTTAGTCTTCCTTATGATCTTTAAGACATTAATTTTTTAAAAAGGCTTTCCTATATTATTTTTCTGCAATAAGACTATGTCATGTTATTTTCCTATGGTAAAACACATTCAAAATATTTCATTCTTTAGGATTGCTTATAAAATTTTACAAAATCAAAGTGCCTGATGTAAAATTACTTGAAAGACTGGTTATTGTACTTGTTTAATTTCAGTGATGTCATTTTTTTGGGTATATGATTACCTAACAATTACTTTTGCTTGTGCCCTTTTTAATATTTATTAATGAGCTAGACAAGATTTTACTTTAACCTTTATGAATTCTTGGTAGTTTTCAGTCTTTTGTAAATAGAAAGTTATTAATACTGAAAGTTTTATTAACAAAAAGTAAACTTAAGACTGTATCAGACAATGAATGTCTAAGGAAGCTAAAACCATAACATGAAGTATCTGCAGCTGTTAAACATACAATAGAGAACATCACTTCAGGGAATGGAAATTTAGACGGATGACCTAGGCTTATTAATTCTCTAGCCTTAAACGATTTTCATGCCTACCAAAAAAAAGAAAAAAAGAATTTTGTTTCTTAAGCTTTCACTTGATAGAACGAACCATTAGCTGCCTGGCTTCCTGTACTCTACAATGGAGCCTTGTTATAATATCCAAGGGATCTGAGCCAGTGGATCACCTTATTGGTGAAACCTCCTAAGAATGAAGTGCTTTCAGTAACTAAACTCTTGGACTAGGTCCAAAACAGCCCATCTTATACCAAATTCCACTCTATAATGAACGAGCTTCAATGTATTAGAAAGAAAACAAAAGCTGTATGAAACTTACTATTCCCAGAAATTAACCTTTGAAAATCCAAGGATAAATACTGATTAAAAGGAATATTTATTAACAAGGCATTGTCATGTAGATATCTTACTATTCTTCATAATTGATTTGTATTTTTTTAAATCTTGGTCTTTTCTAAGTAGTTTCTATGATTTTGATGCTCATGCTTTCCCCCAAAATTTCATCATTTCACATTAAATTATTTTACATCAGTATTTACAAAGCTCAATATTAAAATGTTTCATTTGGCCTCTTGCTATTATAAAATATGAGATTGTATAATTGGAGTATCATTTATGCAAACTAAGTTAGATGCCATCATTTATATATGATTCATAGTAGTTGAAAAGATTTAAGGATATTAAATACTGATAGTTATTATTTTATATCAAGTATTTTTTTTTTATTTTATATCAAGTATTACCTAGGCATATTTTCTCCTTTATTTTCAAACTGCCTTATGGTATTCATACTGTAATATTAACCATTCTTTCAATCATTGATCTCTCTTATGTGTTGTAAAAGGACACGAGTAACCTGCCTTGCCAGTCAGGACTTTATTGTATTATTTGTGGAACTGAACTATTACCTAAAGCAGAAGGAGGTAGGAAATATAAAAAATTACTTTGTGTCATCCTTAGTATAGGTTCACCTAAATTTCAATAAAGTAGATTGGTGTATTAATATTTTCATATTTTAGTCTTTAAAGTTGATTGTTAATATACATGGACTTTATTATCATTAGACTTGGAAACATTCCAGTTCCAGCTGCTGACTTACTTTGATCAAGCTACTTAACTTTTTGGAATTTGTTTTCTCATTTTAAAATGGAGATAAATAATTTCATAAGAAATAAATTAAACTTTATGAATACCAATGCAGTAGAGTACATTAAAGCTTTTTTAAACATCAGGCAAAGAGAAAGATAACAGAATTGGGGGTCAAAGGAATGAGTGTGAGCTTTGGCCCTACTATTTACAGAGTAGCCTTGGTCATAGTATTTTACTTTATTGAGCTTTGGCTTTATTTTCTAGTGGGGAAAGGTGAGCACTACCTACCTAAGAAAATTATTGTGAGGATTAAATGAGATGATATACAATATGTGAAAATGCTCTATAAATTCTGAAGTACTGTGCAAATGTTAGTTGTTAGGAAACTAAAACAATAATCTATAGTAATTGTTATCTCAGCATTGCACCTTCAAATTTGGCTGAAAAACACTTAGAGCTTCTTTGGGGGAAAAGTTCTATGTAGTTATTCTTTTACTAGCAAGACTTAAGTATTGTGAAGACTTATTTTCTGTTTTGTTTTGTTTTTACATTTCATTGTAGTATCTTAAAATATATATACATTGAGAAAAAAACACACACACACAAAAAGTTACCAAAGGAACACTGAAATCCATTGAGAACATTCTATGTAAAATCCATAGGGCAGATCAGGGATTTTTTTTTGGAGAAGGGGGGTGTCTTTGCTGTTTACTCTTATACTCCCAACACTATATTAACTGACTATGACTAAATAAATTGAATAGAGCATTCTATAAATGTATTTACTTTGTCATGATACTTGGCTCTCGTAAATACCTTTTTCATTTGACCAGTTTCTAGACTCTAGTGACCTTTCTCTTTCCAAAAGGAAAGGAGAGACAGAAAGAGAGAAACATAGATGTGAGAGAAACACAATCTGTTTTGTCCTGTATGTGCCTTGACTGGGTGGGGATGGAACCTGCAACCTTTTGGTGTTTGGGTTGATTCGCCAACCAACTGAGCCACACGGCCAGGGCAATTTTCTTTAAGTTTTTACGAAAAAACAAAACAAAAACCAAACTTAAAAATATATTCTTGAGGGAATTCAGGATATGCTGTTTTTTCCTGGTGTTCCCATCTTCTGATCTCTTAGCCTCTCTACTCTGGATTCTTTACTTATAAAGGAAGCAAAGCAAAGCAAGAACATAGCAGATACATCTATGGTGCTTTAGAGTGTGCCATGTAGTGTATTACAGAGCTTTCAAAGCCAACAATACAGGTGGTATTCTTATTTTATAAATGAGGAAAAGGGAACATTATAATGAGAGCTCAAGCAAGGTCATGGAACTCTTTCCACCATTTTGATGTATTTTTGTACTTTTATATTTATTTTAGTTTACCTTTGCCAGAATCTCTTTATGAAAGGCATAGTCTTAGAATTCTGAAAGCAAGCCTCATTCTCTTATTTTTACCCAAAGGAGTACTTTCCAGAATCATAGTATCTAGATATATATAAAAGCCTAAGCGACCGTTATGACCAAATGACCAGAACGACCGGTCGACCAGTTGCTATGACGCGCACTGACCACCAGGGGGCAGACGCTCAGTGCAGGAGCTTCCCCCTGGTGGTCAGTCTTCTCCCACAAGGGGAGCACTGGTCAGCCAGAAGCTGGGCTCACGGCTGGTGAGTGCAGCTGCAGTGGCGGGAGCCTCTCCGGACTCCGCTGCAGCGTTACCGAGCAGTGGCAGCAGGCACAGTGGGCCAGGATGAGTGTGAGTGGCGTGGTGCCGGCTTAGGCTCCTCCCTGGCCGCCTGCTACATTCCCCGAGGGGTCCCGGATTGCAAGAGGGCGCAGGCCAGGCTGAGGGCCCCCCCCACCCCCACGTGCATTAATCTGTGCACCAGGCCTCTAGTTTTTATATTAAACAAAAATATATTAACATTTATTGAGGAATATAAACTCAACAGTCCTAGAGCATAGTATACAGATCAAGGTCATTGATGGCAACACACCACACTTTGTTTTTAATGTAATTTAGTTCATATTAAATTGATTTCTTAAGGCATTCTTCGAGAAAAGTACAATTTTAGATAACCAAGAAATTAACACATTAAGATACTAATTAAAAAGCCACTCAATTATATTCTTTGTAACTGCATCCAACTAGAGTTTATTATGAGAAGTGGTATCTGTTGGTGATACTAGGTTTTAATGACAATATATTTACTTGTTTTATTGTTTCCACTATGTGTAATAATTCTCCATTGAGTTGTCTTCTGATTGACAAACATACCTACACAAATTAATTTTACTAAATTACAGCAACCAGCAGTATATTTCTAGAAAATTAATATAATTGCTAGTGTGATTTACTTTCCTTAAATCTCTTTCACCTTATTTCTTATAGGAGTTTTAAAAAAAGTTTTTTCCAAGAATGCTATGCTGATAAAAATCCAAAGAATCTTCCTAAATGTTAAATTAAGTTGCACAGAATCCCTTTGCCATTGCTTAACTGAGTCCGAGTACAGTTCAGAAGAAGAAAATTCATTTTATGTCACCGGGGACAGTGCTGCCCTTAACCATTTAAAAACCACATTAGTGGTTTATCAGACTTCAGTAAAGAATGAAGGTAAACTTATTTAATAGCTATATTGCTTTCTTGTCACTTTCTAAACCCCTTAAACGTAAATAAGGGACCTTTTTATTTTCATGTGAATTCTCAAATGAAAAGCAATTTTAAAAATTGCTCTTTAAAATATGTTCCACTGACTTAAGAATTGCAAAGGAAGAAAAATAAAACAGAATCTCAAATTTTGTTCAAAACAAAGAAATGTATAAATAAGAAAAGTCACATCAGGACAGATGAGGCATTGATCTATCTGTGTCTGATACTGACTCCAAAAAAGAAAAAAAACAAAACCACAAATCCAGGTCCCATGCATGCTTTGGCAGGCTTGACCTGGGTAAAGGAAGGGCAGTAACTCATGGGAGCAACCTCCAGGGTAGAAGCAACTGGGCTCTACCAGCTATTCCTAAAAAACAATGGGCTAGATGCTTAGAGACAAACAAATGACCTGTAAACACAAGTGTTTTTACCTTTGCATAAATATGTCTCAGGTTGCCTACTGCCCTTGTACAATTTCCCAGCTACTTTCAAGTCTGCTCATCATGTTCATTTTTATTCTACCAATACCTGTTTCCAATGTTGGGTAGAAAGGACTAGGCCAAACACTACTATTCTTTATCCCAGCCCTACACTCACCTAGAAATAAGTTTGTCTACTCTTCCTAGAAGCAGTAGGGACAAGGCGAAGCATATTACTTCTGTTCCAAAATGCTGACTTCAGATAACCCAGATACCCTATCATTTACCATTTTCAACATCAGTGGATTCATCTAAACCCTTTTCTTCCCATTTAAAATCCAAGGGCAACAAGCTCTATGTAATATACATTCATTCAATACTAAATATAAAAGACCCTTAAAAATAAAACTTGGGATTTCTTTTTGTTGCTACCACCTTAAAGGTGGACCATTCAGGACAAGTCTAAATGTTTACTTTGGTTACAAATGTCTGCAGAAACATATGGTCAGATCATATGTTTCTAATAATGTTCACGTCAGTACTTTGCAGCTTTGACCAATTTCAATATTTTCTCTGGAATTGGAAATTCTTTCTTGTGGGAATGTACTCATTTATCAAAAAATGAATATGTGGTTGTTAAAATTTCTTGGCTTAGTGCAGTGTGGAAGATTGTAAGATAGTTTTGAGAATTACAACTTTGCATAGATTCATAGTCCTCTTTTACACAAATTCTTCCCATTTCAACTGCATACACTTAAGCTTGAAGTGAAAAGCTATGTTGTTAATTTTTTTTCTGTGCTGCCTCCAACATCTCATTCTGAGTTTCCACTCCTTTTTTTAGTGACTTCCAGGCACAAATAAAATTCAATCACAAGAGAGGTTGGGGAGTGCAGTGTTTAAGAGAGGTTCTCTCTTGGTCTCTTGTCTCTTCTCTGCCATAACTGTACACCTTTGTTGTGTAGTACCATTAATTCCTACAGAAGGTAGCAAGTGCTCATTCAACACCTGGAACTCTCATTTCCTCCATGAAAACTTGGAGTTTTACTCACTTTATACCAAAGGCAGTCCAACACAAAAAGATTGTCCTTGCATATTTGAAATTTGTTCGGTGGATTGTTCAACTGAAGAATATGGAGAAACATTTTGTCCTGAAACCAAATATATAATAGTGATATCTATTATTGTTATGAATGTACTGTAAAAGGAATGCTACTCCTGCAGATGTATTACCATGTGAAAGCTTGAGCAAAATTACTTTGCTATTTTAATTGTGGGAAATTACATTCTCATAGACTTGTATGATAAACAAATTTCTGTTTTAAACTTACTGGTGTTAAATTTATGAAAAGTCCCATTTCACAATTAATGTAGAACAATTTTATGATTGTAGAATATGGAGATTTATAGGGTTCTCAACTATACATAGTTTTATTTGAAAACAAAGAATTACATTTTTCTCTTGAAAACAATTTTGATTCTGAGGAAGGCACCAAGCCAAAGGGACTGAAGCATGAGTTTTGGATTTGGACATTTTAAATCCCAGCCTACTGCTTTCTGACTTTAATTTATACTCCCTGAAACTGTTTTCTCACCCATAAAATGTGGACAATAATAATTACCTCATAGCATTGCTGTGAAAATAAAATAATGAATTTATATAATAGGCATTAATAAATGTAAGCTATTACTCTTTTTTAAACTTATTTTCTGTACTCTTCTATGTTAGACTAAAGATTGTAAAAGTTAAATATGTTAAAGTAATGGTTTTCAAAAATATTACCCAATCTTAACATCCACTCCACTTTCTGTTAGACCTTTATAAGTGAAATTGAGATGTTGAATCTGGTAGTTCAGGGTTTATGAAAGGCCTTTTTTAATTTTTTGTAGGCATGGAGACAGGTTTATCTTTAAATGCCATCTGGAATACGAAAGAATGTTCTTTAACCAGCTACTTACAGTGTAGAAATTGTATCAACCAGTCTCTACTCCCATGTCCTTTAATTGGTGCTGAAATAAGTGACCCTAGAAATATTGCTGAATCAAGGGTAAGTTTATATATGTTTGTTTTTGAAACTTAATTTGAAGCTTGCTTATGCATAACTATACCTATGTTATGATGAAGATATATGAAGTATTGCTATGCTGCACATAAATATATTAAGGCCCATTCTCTTTTTTAAGAAAAAATATAAAATATGATATACTATTAAAGATGAACTATTCCTAGATGTAGTGCTTTAGTAAATTGGACATTAAAGCCAAAGTAAAAAACCACTTGGTGTGGCTGCATAGCAAAATTAGATACATTAAGTTTCCACATTGCAGTGAAATTACACTTTAGAAACTTGCACTATTATTTTGTCTTACCTCTTTGTGTTTTTTAATCTGCTCATTTAGGCCTAATCAGGATTAAATATACATTGGAGCCATGACCCAAAGATTAGCCTTGTAAAATAAGGATCGGATTTCCACTCAATGTAAACTGCTAGTGCATATCCCTCAACCTAGTAGGTTCAAAGTTATCCTAATGATGTAAACAATTAGGTTATAAATACAATTCCACCAGAGTATGGAAGTACTTTCAGCAAATATGTTCTATGAATAAGACTAGGTATGTTCTTAAAGAACTATGAGTTACTTTACTTTAAAAAACATCAGATCCCGGTAAATAAATGTATGTGGTAAGATTTTTAAAAATGTTTTCTTAGTGTAATATAGTGTGGCAGGTAAGAATGTAAATTCTACAGTGAGACCAGTTGGATATCAAATTCTACTTCTGCCACTTTATTAGCTCCATAACCTAGAGCAAGTTACTTTTCTGTGCTTTAGTTTCCTTTTGTGCAAAACTGGGGAAGTAATAATACCTAACCAGTAGGGTTGTTATAAGGATTAAATGAGTTAATTCCTATAAACTACATAAAATAGTGCCTGGCATGATGCAAGAGCTCATGCAACAATCATATTGATAATAATGCTTTATTATTATTATTGATACTACTTTAAAAGTCTTTAGTTTTTAAAAAGTACAGGATCATTCATTATCTCAACATTAAATAACGTAAATAGAGGTTAGAACATTTATCTCTTTTAGTATTTAAAATGTCTGATGATGGCTAGGCGCATGAACAATTTAAACTATAATATTCCTGTTTTAGCATCATGAAATAATATCATAGTCCCTTAGCAACAAGAACTGCTCTACCGTTGTGGATTTTATAAGGTGAGTTTCAATACACATTCAGAGGAAATGCCATTTATAAGCATACAGTTAATTGAAGGCTCACAGGAAGAGTACTGTTCCTTTGTGGGCTGGCGAATTATGTCTTACAATGAATACTTCTCTGTGGGGAAAAAATAGAGCTTGTCTTTCTTCCAAGAAAGGTAAAATTGGCAGTATGGGAACATTGAAAAGCTCTGGCAGGGTTATATATTTTATTTTTTAAAATTTACTCTTCCCAATTGGAAATGTAATAAAAATTTTGTAACAAGATTTTGTTCCATTGTCTTGCCTGATAAGAAATTTAGACAGGAGGATAAGAATAACCTTATTTTGGCTGGGACAGCTGGGAATTAGCTTTCAAATATAACTTTCTCCTTTATAGTTATGCCCATGTCCTATCCATCCATATCACACACTCTTACATTTGTTAGGAAATTGTTAGCTGAACATAAGCATCACCTAAGTTACTGAGAGATAACTTACTTTTTCTTCTCTTTTTTCAATCATACCTAACAGTAGCACACCAAAATTCAGATACTACTTTTTACTTGTTTAATATAGTGATCCTTTTGAAATAGTGAATCTATTTGGAAATCTAAAATCTGATCTGACTGTACATGCAAATTTACTTTGAAAGTGAAGGATTAGTTCTGTTTCTGGCATTATGAAGGTGGTTTTTATAGCTATTGGTAGCAATCTTATTGATGAAAATAAGGTGTGCTTTAGAGATGTTAATGTTTTCAAGCCAAATACATCATATGTAACTTAATTGCTTGTGAAAGATACATTTTTTCATATTTTATAACCACATAGAGTGAACAAACTACATTTTCTCTGATTTATAGTTCTTATCATATCCCCTTTTCCTTTTATAGTATCGTTAAGCACACCTGTTAAATATTAGTTTTTTAAATTTTCTATAAATTTATTTTTCTTGTCTTATTTCTCTCATTTATGCCTATTTATAACCCTTCTCCCTGTTTTGCTACTTACTATTTATACCAAATTAGGGTTTGCTTATTAGTGTTCCCTAAATAACTGCATCAATACAACTTACATTAATTAATTACATTACTCCCTAAAAATATTTTGTGTTTTGTGGAAACCCAAAATATGGAAAACATTTGCATCCTATTTGGCAACTATTAAAAGAGAACATTGTGTCAATCCAAAACAAATCTTCCTCAATTAAGGCAGCACTTCTGCCTAAGAACTAAGCATACCCTGGGATCATTATGTCACTTCCATAATTATATATAAAAGGCTAAGCAACCACCCGACCGGCGGGTAGGTATGAGGCACACTGACACTCAACACAGGAGCTGCTGAGCTGTGGTGACTTGGCAGCAGCGGTTCTCGGGTGACGCACCCCAGAACCAGAGGAGGGAGCCCGATTCCTCACGGGGCTGCATAATTCCACCTTCGACCCGTGGGTTATGTTGTTGCTGGGGCACTGTCGGCCCCGAATCTGGTTTACTGCACACTTGTGTTTGCATTCCGCACTCTGGGGCTCCTCGGGGGGTGTTGGAGAGCCAGTTTCTGCCCAATCCCCGCAGGCCAGGCCAAGGGACCCCACCTGCCGGAGGGACCCCACTCACTCCACAGACACCCTTTGAGCAGCAGTGCCGCCCCAGGTGTGGCTGGCTGGGAAGGGACCATAGGAGGTTGGCTCCAGGGCGTGTCTGGCCCAGCCCATCTCACCCAGTCCTGCCCCACTGGCCACCTTCTAATTAATTTTCTTTCAATGAGTCTGTGCACTGGGTCACTAACACTGTACATCTATAAAGCATGATGAAGGATGAACTAAAAGTCTCATATTGCATCCTAAGGTCAACAAGAGTAATGATTCAATAGAGAATTGGTAAAACCTTGCTTTCTTTCACATCTCTCATGATTTAAAAATGCTCTTTTTAGCTCGGCCAGGTGGCTCAGTTGGTGCTAGCGTCATCCCCTATACCAAAAAGTTTTGCAGTCAGGGCACATAACTAGGTTGTGAGTTCAATCCCTGATCAAGGCATGTGTGGGAGGCAAGTGATTGATGTTTCTCTTCCTCTCTCTCTAAAATCAATGGTAGTAATAATAATAATAACCCTATACAATAAAAGCCCAGCGACCGAATAGTGGAAGGACCAGAACAACCAGTCAACCAGTTGCTATAATGTGCACTGACTACCAGGGGGCAGACGCTCAATGCAGGAGCTGCCCCCTAGTGGTCAGTGTGCTACCACAATGGGAGCACCACTTGGCTGATGGGGATGAGCAGCTGCTCCCGGTGGGAACCCTGGGCCGATGGGCAGGAACCTGGGCTGCGATCATCGCCTCCTCACCCTGGGCTCCTCCTCCTTCCTGCTGCCTCCTCCGGATGTCCGCAGGCTGTGCAGCACTGATGCCAGGCTCACAGAGCTGACCCTGGAGCCTGGGAGGCAGGTTCGTGGCCACCGCGGTACTGAGGCCTACTCTGTTGCCTCTCAGTGCTATTGTCCCTGGGCCCGGCCCTGACTGGGTTCCCTGGAGAGGTGAGTGCTCCAGCTCCGAGGAAGATGACAGACCAGGAAGCAGCCACTCAGAGGGTGGGTCCACAGCGCTTGGTTGACCAGGATGAGTGGCGCTCCCACAGCGGGCTGATCCCCGCAGGTCACACCGCCCACCAGTGCATGAATCCCGTGCCCCGGGGCTCTAGTAATAATAAAAACATATCCTTGGGTGAGGATAAAATGCTCTTTTAAAAAAATATACACTAAAATATATATATACAAACACACACACATACATACATACATACATACAGTGGGGCCTTGACTTACGAGTTTAATTCATTCCGAGACCGAGCTCGTTAAGGAGCTCGTTAACTCAGATTACTCTGTCAACTCAATGCAAAAAATCGGCTGAGAGACAGCTGGTATCTCAAAAAACTCGTTAGTCGGGACACTCGTAAGTTAAGGCCCCACTGTACTTTTATTGATTTCAGAGAGGAAGGGAGAGGGAGAGAGAGAGAAACATCAATGATGAGAATCATTGATTGGCTGCCTCCTGCATGCCCCACACTATGGACTGAGCCAAACCCAGGCATGTGCCCTGACCGGGAATCGAACTATGACCTCCTGGTTCATAGGTTGATGCTCAACCACTGAGCCACACCAGCCGGGCAAAAATGCTCTTCAATAATTCATTCTTCACTCATTTCATTAAAGTGTCAGAAATTTTGTTTGTTGTTATCCTTAGAATTTATCTTTTTTTTTTCATTTTATTTTATTTTTTTTTATTTTTTATTTTTTTTATTTTTATTTATTTATTTTTTTTATTGCTTAAAGCATTACAAAGGGTATTACATATGTGTCCTTTTTTTTTTTCCCCCCGCCCTTGACAATACCTTCTAGATTCTTTAGAAGATATCTTGATACTGTTGAGAAACCATTCACACGGGTTTACTGA